ACAAAAAAAATTTCAGCGCAATTGGATAAATATTAAAAAAGTTATGCGGCTTTGAATAATAAAACATTATGCCTCAGAAATTCATCGCTTAGAGATGGTATGACGTCATCTCTCGAGTCAAGAAGGGCTAAAGGCCGTCACACGACCAACGTGAGAGATGCAGTGACGTCACCACGTGTTTCAAAACTTCCAAATTTGGAGTTTTTTGATAATTTATTTAAATATGAACAAGGGCTCGGAAAATTATGAAATTTTGCACAACTGCTAAACTCAATACGCTCTTTTAGAATATGTAATAAAAAAAAATGCTGTACGAGCCTATTGATTTAAAATGATCTTTCACGGTTTGAAGGTGCTGTTTAGACTTAATCATCTGGGTTATATGATTCCATTCTTAATTCAACTCACTAATTTCTCCATCCAATGATATCTGAGACTTAATTTTATTTTTTGAAATCTCTGTAGTTAAAAAGGTTACTTCTTCTGTTAGATCTGTCGAACTGATACCCATTGTATTTAATTCATGACTCGATTGAGGCATACCTAAGTGTTGACACAGCATATGAATGTGTTTACACATGTTCCACTTTATGCTATAGTCGAGACAACTGCAAGAGAAAATGTGTATACATGTTTCGGATTCTTGGCATCTTAGCTTACAGGAACATTGTTCAGAAATTCTCTGGACAGAATACATATTTGATCCATTTGAGAACTGTATGAGCCAACCATCAGTATCTTCAACTATGTGTCGATCAGAAATAGACTGACTATTTTTGTGGCGAATTCGAAGATCAGCTACCTTCTTGGTAATTTTTTCTTTATGGAGCGTTATAATTCTATGATATAAACGGTCCCTCACAAACTTCATTAAAGTGCATAGCATTTTGTCTAACCTCTTTGCGTTTTTGCCAAGGAAATACACGTATTTTTTTGTTTTGTGCATTCTTTCCAGGTGCATATTCGTGTTGAGACCACAATTGAGTCGGTAACAAAATGCCCATGGTGAAACACAGCTAACATATTCATTTTGAAAATATCTTCTGAAATCTTCAGTAACTGGTTCCTCAATAAGCTGATTAACGACACTAGTCAGAGTAAGCATCTTTTCAAATGCATTTTGGTCTATCTCTTCCATCAAAGTTCTCAGCAATTTATAAGTTTCAACTTGTTTCTCTTTCAGTTTTATTTTTGATAAATTCTTCCGCCAGGCTTTAGCGACGTGCAATATACAAAAAAAATCTGTGGGTTGGGATTGACATAGTAGTAATGAAGGCATTAAAGAAACAATTTGCCAGGTCGGACATGAAAACATTTGGTCAAACAATATTACATTTTTCTCTGACACATTTAAAAAAAACTGTTTTGTCGCAGTGGTTAGTAATTAAAAATCCACAGGGAAAACCCTGTCTTAACTCATCGAGTACCAATAATGTAACCAGCTCGAAATCATATTTATTTATTCTGTGTGTTCCATCTATACACAAAGCATCGTTGCCATATTTTTGGAGCATTTCAACCTGGGCATTGTTTATAATAAATAATACAAAGTCATTTGGACGTAAATCTGGGTAACTTTAACAACACTGTTCCTGTGGTTTATAGAATAATATACAGTCTTTCGTGTCCCTTAGTTCACATACCCACGCATTGATACCACAGTTTTTAATACTAATTGCATCACTTTCATCTTTTCTTTCACAAGCATCCAGCCTAAAACTTTTTTCAATGTTGGCTAAATCCATTTTTGTTAGTAAATGTACACGTTGTATTTCATCTTGCGAAACTGATTCTCTGACTTCGTCTAGAGTCTAGAATGACATGGAATGGAAAACTTGATGCAATTTTTCTGGCAATTGATTTTCTTTCATTCACACCGTTAAGTGGCCCAGATCATTTTCATGACCAACATGGGTCTGTACAAACCTACCTGATGTTATGCCACTTTCTTCAGTTTTACCTGTTAGGGATGCGGGACAAACTCCGTTAATTTTATTGAATCCTTGGTTTTTCAGATTCCGTTTCCTGTTCTTTTTGTTAATGAATTGTCCGGAACTATGGCAAATGTAATAAATAAATTTAGTTTTTCTTTTGGAAATGCAACCACCATTTCCATTTTTTATAAAATTTGATTTTGTGTTTAATTGAATCTCTTCCTTCCAAACTTCAAATTCTTGAAATGTTTCAAATGCAACACCCTGCGTATCACAACGTCAAAAAAAAGAATCATGTTCAAGGTATCCATGTACCAATAAACATTGTCCTTTAACTTGAAGTTTTAGCCGTAAAAAAATCACAATCGAAATCCTGGTATTTTTTATCAGCATATTTACAAAGCTTGGAAATTATGTTTGCCTACTAAGTTAATAAAAACTGCATAAAACTATGAAAAATGCTGTATATGTTAGCCATTATGTTCCACGCATTCATGAATCAGTGAATGGTTGAATAAACTGTGTAACATTTCCAGGGGAATCGCTTTAATGGCATTACGAATGTTCCACTTAGGATCCCAGGCTATTTGGCAAAGAATTACAGGCTTTCTCCTTGACATAATTCCAGAGAAAAAAAGTCTGGATCTGTCAAGTCAGGAGAGTAAGGTGTCCATATTCTATAGGACCAACTCTGCCATAATCCATCTTTTCCAAATGTTATATCTAGTGATTGAAGTGATTCCCTTGCTATTAAACAATAATGACCTATGGCACCATCCTGCTAAAAATAGGTATTGTCCAAGCTACCCTTCCGTCTTAATTCTGGATAAAAGAAATTTCCCAAAATATCAGTGTAGGTATATGTATAGTTCCTGTTATCGTTGGTTCATTAATGAAAAATGGTCCCTACTTTTTCTCAACAGAGATTGCACACCAAACTGCTACTTTTGGGGTATCTCGCTTCTCTTACTGGTTAAATTATCTTGGAAAATCTACTTCAACTTGTAACTTGATATCTAACTTGACAGTTACAGAATTGTTTTCCATAGTGATAACAAGTACTTATCTAAAACATGAAGTTGCATGCGTTTGCAAAAATACCACGATTTCGATTTTTCACGATTGAAACTTATAGTTTAAAGGTCGATGTTTATTGCTACATGGATACCTTGAACATGACTCTTTTTTTTTCACGTGGTGATATACAGGGTGTTCCATTCAAAAAATTGAAGAATTACGATGTTGAAAAACGGATTTTTTTTAACTCGCCCTGTATAAGTGCCAAAAACATGTGTAACCTACTACAAAAAACTTGAAGTTAAGAGAAATGGAATGGCGCGAACCGCAGGTAGCTAGCATACCTGGTTCAAAAGTTATAAGCATTTAAAATGGGTCACTCTCGGCTGGGACACCCTGTATTGCTCAAAATCGAGAATCGCCCTGCAGTGGTTCCCAACCTTTTTTCAGTCACGACCCTTTTACAGATTTGCTCATAAGGTCGCGACCCATTAATAAATAAAAAACAAAATTTCATTTATTCGAGAAATCTTTAACAAAAATAATAATATTTCGTAACTAAATACAAAAAGTCAATTTTTATTTTGTTAATGTGATGACTGAGCTTGCATCACCGTAACAAGTTTTGAAATTCTTGGTTGAGTTTTTCTTAAAGCCAATCTTATGTCATCTTGAACGCCCAATCTATTTCTGGCCTTTGTTCTAATTTTCAAAAGAGTTGAAAACCCAATTTCACGAAGGTAGGTAGAGGCAATTGGCAAATGGTATTAGTATCCGAAAAGTAAGCACAAGCAGGACGATATGAGGATATGAACTATGCATCGCACACCAAATTTCAGTCAAGAATTTTTCCTGAAATAGGCAGGTGCTGTGGAATCATTCCTCAGGTCTAAAAATGTATCCAGCACTTCATCAGGAACGTCGCCAACATCTAACGAGGCTTGGAACGGGTTCCTTACTACTGCAGCTTTTTGTTCAGATAAATCGAGAAAATAACGCCCATTTCATTCTCAAGGGATTGAAGGTGATAACCAATTTTCTCTTTTTGGATTCCCTACAATTTCTGTTTCTGATGCTTCAGCCATTTTGCCTAGCTACCTATGTTGAAAAACATGTGACTCAAAACCTGTGCTATGCACTTCGTCCATAAGGTCAATGCAACGCTGTGCGTCTTTTGTGGCCGAGGCTAAGGCGTGTTGCCAAATGCAGAAAAATATATATTGATATTGGCATTGCGACCCCTCCAAAAACCCTATGCGACCCCCTTAGGGGTCGCGACCCACCGGTTGGGAACCGGTGCTCTAGCGGCTAAACGGTTGATTTTTTTTATCTCGCTCAGAAATTGCCGTTTCCTATTAAAAGTTTCCAAATTGGTCCACCCTGTACATACATGCATGCTGAGGTTAAAAATTTCAAGCAAGATAACCTTTGAGCTGATCTGTTATCCTTGTCCTCAAAATCTACGTTTAAATCGTCCGCGAGCACAAGTTTGATGTTTGTAGGAAACTTGGTAAGCAGTACTTCAGGTCTCTCTAAAAAAATGTTGAAGTTGCATTTTGGTGATCGATGAATACAGACCACAAAGCATTTTGACTTTACTGAATGAATGACTGAAAATTCAAATTAGCCTTTCGACCGACAAGCAATTTATCAAACTTATCAAATGCGGACAAGTTCTCACAAATACCATCACTCAATAAGGCGGCAGTAGTGACAGTGACAGTACCACCATGTTCTGAACTTGATCTGCAGAACTTATAAACCACACAATACCTCGGAACATAGAGCGATTCCTCAGGCTTCATCCAATACAAAACTATAACTATACCAAGACATTTCAAACTTCCCAGAAGTATAAACAGTTTGTCGACTGTATTGCGAACTGATTGAATATTTAGATGCCGGTACATTTGTCCATCATTAAAATTTGAATTGGCTCGACTGGACATCAAGTGATTTGCTTTTCCAAAATACCAACAACATAAACTTGCTCATTTCAATCACATTCCTATCCTGAAAATATAATGTATTGATAATTATTTATTCCAGGAACTGAATCCACAATTCTGCATTCAATCATCCGGAGTGGAAAACCGTATGCCGACCGCAAGTACCTGTTTGAACTTACTAAAAATTCCGATATTCAAGGATGAAGAAGTCATGCGTTCCAAAATTTTATCTGCAATCGAACAACAGGCAGGCTTTGAGCTATCTTGAAAACTTTCTACTTTATATTATTATGTGATTGATTTGTACCTATTAAATCCCTATTTATTTTTATATAATGTAGATATTTTGTGAATATGTGTGTATGAGAAAACAATTTATCAAATTATGTATACGTAAAAACTTTTAAATATGCATGTAAATTTTAAGAAATTTATTTGTGAGTCGTTTTGGTTTAATTGGGTCGACTTTATTAATCTATGAAAAAAGAGGTTGTATTTAAAAAATAATAATAAATGTGTAGCAAATCGTAAATAAATAATTTCAACATTTGTTTTCAGGCTTTAACTAATAGACACTCATTTCCTTTGTTAATAACTTATAATAGCGTGTTCACTAAATTTCAGCTCACCATCAATTATTATTTTGTCCTGAAATATTTAAAATTAAACAGTTTTCAAGAAAATATACTATACATTTTATTTTTATTCATAAAGTTTAATTAAGTATCTATAGGTATTTATAAAAAATTTAAACACTACTTTTGTACCACTAACAAAAGTTTCCAGTTGCGCTTCAAAATAATGAACTGTTTGTATATCAAAAACTTAAACATATTGATGTTGTTGAATATTTTCATAAAAATATTTCCGAATTCACAAAAAATCTTTCAATTTCTTTGAAATTTCCTCTAGTGCATAATTTCGTCCACCCATATATTGTCCTTGACAGGTAGGACATACAGGAACCAATTTTCTACAACTTTCACAAATCGAATGACCCGTTTTACAGAGATAAATGTTCCCAGCCATTACTTCATAACAAGTGGGACACTCCAAGGTATTTGATATCCGTTCCATCACGCCTGACGCTTCATTGGATAAATACTGGTCAACATTATAACTAGCATTTTCATCATTATTAGGTCCATCCTGGTATATTTCTAACTCCATTTTGAATTCACTAGAGTCTGATTTAAATATGTCTAGTATATGATCGATGTTGAAATCATACTCGTTCCAATTCTTAGTATTATTTGGATTTTGTTTAATTTGTCGGTTTTTGAATGAAATAATTTGATTCCTTGTACTAAAAGTTACAGTAAGAGCGTGGGGAATTGAAGTTGCAAATACAGGCTGTACTTTAATTTTGATTGTAGTTTCTACTTGGATATGAACTAAACAAACCATTCTGGCACAAGCAACTAATACGACTTTTGGATATGTGTGATTATAAATGTCTCCTTCAGAAATTACTACATTTTTGTCGAGAAATAATTCCTTCTGATGGTGCTTCTTATAATGACTTATAAGAGTTGTAGTTGTGTATGGGCCAGAGCAAATTTCACAAACCATTTCTCTATGCCAGCATTTAGCTTCGTGATCTTCAGCTTCGCCCCAAGCTAGTTTTTCCTTGCAATTTTTTGAAGAACTACATGGAAATTTCAAAAATTTTGCCAATATTTCATAGGAAACGTTTCTTATTTTTGAGCCCTCATCGGGAACTGAACATCTACCGCATACATTTTTATTTTTGCCAATGGGATCTGTGTAGATGTAGATTGGAGCTACAGACAGGTACTTTTCGCATTGGGAACATTTGAAATCATCGAAGTCGATTGAGGGAAACTGTGAATCGTCTAAGGAATCGTCCAGTTCTTGACTTTCACCAGACTGGAAGAAAATTATTTTAGTCTATAACTTTTTAATTTTTTTTTTCAATGAGATGAACAACAACAATAGACTTTATTTAACTTATTATCTATACCTAATTATAGATTGTAATATAGGAAGAATATTACACAGGGTGTTTTTTAATGGAATGTCAATATTTAAAAAGTCAATTTTTAGGTCCATTTTAAGAAGAAAATCTCATATGAACCTAAACATCTTAACTTTTGAGATACAGGGTGATAAAGAATAAAGATTTCAAAAATATCATTTATTATTATAATATCTGTAACACCATTTTAGATATTTCAATGAAATTTGGCATACATTTACTATGTATCAAGAGCATAAATATCAAGAGGCATTTTTTAATGTAGCACATTTTTTAAATTTCCACCATAGGCGTTCGTACGGAATTTGACCTGTCCATTTTGACAAACATTGATGGTACGCCATTGATTTCTCTTGAATTCGCCAATCAAATCCAAAGATGATCACTTGATTTTTTAGAATCCGATGAACGGTTTCCGCTTGAAAAAATTAAAACCGTTTTGCATCATGCACATCATAACAATCATTTAATAATAGGTCTCAGTGTTGCCACAGGTGGCCCCATATGGCCAGATCTGGCCCTTTCTAAGACAGAGTGGCCCGTTGGCCACTCTTTTTCGAATCTGACCCGTTTCTCCATAACAAGCCAAATCATAATTTTTTGATGCAAAATAAACGTTTTTGGGCGTGGCACCCGAAAAAAATTCTGCCTCCGGCGGCGCCTGCGGCGAGCTTTCTCTCTTCTTTTTAATTTGAAAACGGTTAATCTGAAATCTGGCCCCTTTTAAGTTCATATTCTGGCACGACATTTTAAGAGCCTGTGGCAACACTGATAGGCCTGTTCGCACAGAAATCACAAACCAGTCAGAGCAAATTTTATTGGTTGAAAACAAAAAACTAGTTTCAATTCAACCAATAGGCCTATTTATGCAGAAATCTCAAACCAGTCAGAGCAAATTTCATTGGTTGATCAGAAAGCTAGTTTCAACCAATGAAATTCACTCTGACTGGTTTGCGATTTCTGCTGAAACAGACCTAATGGAATTCACTCCCGACTGGTTTGTGATTTCTGTGTGAACAGACTTATAAGGATTAATGACTCACCCACCATGGAAATAACAGAGATAAGATTTTATTAACATTGAAAATGTTTATGTTCTCGCATATGGGGATCAAATTCGAAGTTTTCGTTCAAGGTCAAAAGACGGCGGTGTCGCCAGGGGCCTGCGGTGAAATAACCCAAAGCGTATAGCAGTTATATCGTTATCTGGGCAGTCAAAATGGAAAAAAATATATATGGGGATTGGAATTATGGGACAAAAATCTTAGCGTTAAAGCACTATTTAGCGTTTGTTCTAAGATGGGAATTTTAATGAAATAATAGATATTTATTTACGATACAATACAAGTGAGTTAACAGCATACTTAAGATACATGTATGGAAGTTACACAAGTGTACAGCACGAGTTGTGTATCTCGCTGACGTAGATAAATATATATTATGTGTTAAAAATAGGTTCCATATAACGGTGTTATCATGAATTCCAATGTCTCCGATCAAAGCCCTCTTCGATGGTTGCAGGGATTGCAAAATCTGTGAATTTTTATTTAGGTGAAAACCATGCATCAGAATATACATATAAAAACAGTTAAAAAATAAAAAAAGGTAGTTTATATTTACTTTAAAACCATTTATCATCATCTATCTTTGATATTTGAGCACTCTCCTGGTCTCAGCAGTTCCCACATTGCATATATCTACATTTTCCATTTCATTTAAAATATTATTACAAACTCTCAACATATTATTCACTGGCGACGTGCTATTTGTCTTATCTACATAAAAATATTCTTTTTCGGTAATTCTAAGCCTAGTCTTTGGTACTCTCAATGAAATATAGTTAATTATATCACAGTCTTTGTATTTAATATTGTTAATTATATAATATATAAAAATCATTGCTTGGTTATTCCTTCTACCGGACAATGTTTGAATCTGAATACAAATATCTTAAGAATCGTTTTTGCACTTTCTCAATTAGGTCTGAGTTAGAGAATGCCACAGGTGACCAGATGTTTCAAGCGTACTCCATGTGGGGTCTCACTAGGGCATTATAAAGTTTTACCATAGTATTTATTTTAAAATTTTTGCCATTGCGTACAAACCCCAATGCACGATATGCTTTATTGACAATGTCGCAGTAGTGGGTGTTGAACCTTGCGTTTGTTTGAAAATTAATTCCGAGATCTTTAATTGTGCTTTTTCTCTCAAGTTGGTCTCCGTTAATGTGATAGTCTTCAACAAAATATGACTTTCTACGAGTATATGTCACCACTGCACATTTTCCTACATCAATCATTGTTGTTTCGAAACCAGTCGGCTACTTCACCTAGGTCGCACTGCAATTTGGCAGTGTCTTGCTTGACGGATATGGTCTTAAATAGTTTGAAGTCATCCGCATATATTAAACAACTCGAATTGGTGACACAATCAGGCAAATCATTGATAAAAATTATAAACAGTAGCGGTCCCAGGTTACTGCCCTGTGGGACTCCTGAAGTGGAGATGTAATGATTAGAGAAGTAACGACCTACCTTGGCGCACTGCTTTCTGTCAATCAGATATGATTTTATGAGATTAAAAGCTTTTCGGGAGAATCCAAATTTTATAAGTTTGTTTAAAAGCACACAATGATTCACCTTGTCAAATGCCTTTTCGCAGTCAGTGTATAGGACATCCAACTGCTGCTTGTCTTCTATTGCCTATATATATTCAGATAGTATGCAGAGGTTTGTTACAGTGGATTTGTCACTCACAAAGCCATGTTGATGCTTGCTAATCCTATGCTTTACGTGATCATATATTTCACTGTACAGCATGTTTTCAAAGATTTTTGTAATACTGTTCAGCAGACTGATTGGTCTATAATTTTGTATTTCATTTTTTCTACCTTTCTTATGAATTAGCGCCAGCTTTAATAGATCAGGAAAGCTTTCTTGTTCAATTGACATCTTAAAAAGATGGGCCAGCGGTTTTGCTAACATCTCAGCACATCCCTTATAGATATATGCTGGTATTTCATCTGGACCTGTAGATTTTTTTGGTTTAAGCTTTTTTATACTGTTGATAACATCAAATTCAGTTATCTTTCTAAAACAGAAATTACCCCACTCTCTGTCATCCCAGTCGCAGTCAGAGTACTCAGATGTCCCATACACTGATGCAAAATATTCCGCAAATGCATTTGCAATGCTTAGAGCATTATTATATTTATTACTATTAAGTGTCATTTCCAGCGGGATTCCACCATTTTCAGTTTTATTTTTAAAGAATGCCCAGAAAGTGTTTGGATCTGCCATGAGCCTGCTTTCAATTGAAGTTTTATATGCATTGTATTCAGATTTTGTTTGATTCTTAATTTGTACTCTCAATGACAGATATTCTGCACTTTCTGGGTTATCTGGCCCGTTTTTTAAGAAAGAACGATGGAGCCTGTTTTTCCTCCTAATTTTACCTACAAGGTCTATGGAGAACCAGGTAGGAAATTTAGCTTCACTGTTTAAATTTATTTTGATCTGAAATGCTAATGTCTGCCCAGCGACTCCAGCGAGTCTGTGTCTACAGGGCAACGGTAAGGGGAATGCAGTTGTAAAAAAAAAAATGGCTGATTTCATTCATAAAATACCTAGCTGCGTGCGGAACTTTTTGGAAGTGTTATCGTGTTGCAACTCTTACACGAAAATCAGCAATGACCAAATCTCCGCCACTGGATATTTAAATATAAATCGATATTCCAAGATGGGAGGATAAAATGACATGAGCCCTGGGCAATAGCGAGACGTAAGGTGAGGTTAGCTCATTGACAACTGTATGGTTCCCCATGACAACAGCGATCCTGTCAAAAACTCCACCAATCAGGTTCATCCAAGACGGATGCACAAAACATCCCCCCTTAGAAATGTAAGTCTTATGAGAGACGTCAGTCTAGTCGGTTCAGCTTTCCCCTCCAATCACTAGAGGCGCTTCAATCAACCTATTAAAGTTTTCTTTTTCCTGCCGGACCGTGCGCCAAGATTTGAAGTTTATTTTGTCATTTCCAGTCGTCAAAATTTAAATTTTGAACTTCTCCCAACATTTAGAATTATCAATTACCTATCAATTATCAATAATTATTATCTCAAAATGTCTTCTCCCAGTTTGTGCATCAGAAATGCTGTGTTCCGGGGTGCGGCGACAAATACAGCAGCTATTTCCGGTTTCCAAAAGATGTCGAAAAAATGAAACAATGGCTAGAAAAAGTTCGCAATCCTTTACTAAATAGCCTAAGTGTCGAGAAGGCTTATAATAATTATAGAGTGTGAACAAGACATTTTCCTCGAGAATTTATTGTTGGCGATCCAAAAGCCAGACGAGGACTCACATGGAATGCTGCGCTTTTGCTGTATCTCCCTGAAGGTAAGTTAATACTAGATATATGTGAGAAAGACGTACAACCAGGCCCTTCATGTCGTCAATTTTTATCTACTGAAACTTCTGCAATTCGGGCAGACATTGCTACACCAAGTGGAACCATCACATCTGCAAACATGAAAAAGTCACTAACCAACTTTGTCTCTTAAAACTTTTATTGGTAGGTACCTAAGTGTTATTGCTTAATGAATAACCACCCAGTTGGGAGTAGGTGAATTTTAAAACATCCTAACTCAAGTAGGACTACTACTATAAAAGACTACTAATTACTAAAACTTGCAGTCGAATGCTAGAAAAATTAGAAGCTAAATGTGCGAAAAGCTCGTCTCCAATCTTGATCTATTTTTTTTTTGCAGGTCATGAGAGAAGATGCCAAATTTTAAAGAACATTAACGTCACTAGGCAAAAAATTCTTATCCCCAAGGGAAACATATCTTTATTCCAAAGTTATAGAATCCAGCAATAAGTTAAGAAGAATCAGTAGAAGGTTGTCGTCATTTAAATCCAAAGTTTCTGCTGCTGAATAACTTGCATCATAAACCAAATTTCAAAGGCTCGTAGACCACGTCAATCCATTGATATACAGCTTTATTTTAAGCCAAGTCCGTACTCAAAACCAAAAGCCTAAAGCTAGACGATTTACATTGGACGAGAAGTTGTTGGCGTTGTCTTTGCTTAAAGCTAGTGGTAAAGGGTATAGACTATTATCAAAAATATTTATTCTATCATCCAGGCGAAATCATTTTCTTGAATGAGCTTTATATTATGTATAACGTATAACTACATAAACTTTCTACCTAACACATGCGGAAAGTGTATTTTCTGGACTTAAAGGCTTGTCCGAACTCTGCTTTTTGTTGTCATTCGTGCAACTTCCATCACGTGCAGAAACACTTTCCTCACTTGTTAGGTTAACAACGATTTTGGATTGGGAGAAAAGGACCTCTTTTGTCATTTTATTTACGATTTAAGTTTTTCATCAAGCTATTGTTAAATGTACGTCATTACTTCTTGTAACTGTCCTTATTATCTTTAACTTAACTAGCATTAGGTACCTACCTATGTATGTATACTTACATGAAAAAAAACTGTTTCGCAATAATTGTAATTAATTCCATATTCTTTAATATTTTCTGTTTCAAACTTTAATAAATATCTAAATTTGTCATCTTAATTTTTAGTCAATTTTACCTTGAAGGCGCTTCAACACTACCGATTTTATGTATTTCTTCTTTTTGGCACAATTATTTTATGCCAAAAAATGGTAGAAACTTTAAAGTGGTGGTGTTGAATCACTAGAATCAAACAATGGTGGAAACGATCAACCGGAACGAATAAGATACCGAACGAACCCTAACTGCGTTTTGCATTCGCCAATAAATCCAGAATTACAAAAGCTTACCCCCCCAGTCACTAGAGGCGCTGAAAACTTATAGACAGGTTCTCAACACGGCACTTACCTTTCTAAGGGGGGATGTTTTGTGGACGGATGCTTGCCAAATTGTCAAAAGCTGATGGTATCTTTAGAAAATGTTTATTTTTTACAATAGACCAAAGTGAAGAAATCAGGATTAAAATAAGGATAGATCTAACAACCACGTTAAAATATTTACAGCTGTATGTAACATCCTCTTTTAACTTAAAAGCGTTTTTGAAAACTGGTACCTTTAAAAATTTGTATGGCTTAGAATACACATTTTTAAAAGTGACCAGTTTTAAAAAGCCCTTTTAAGTTAAAAAAGGATGTTGCACACAGCTGTTAGCATTTTATTATTGTTATCAATATTTTATTATTGTTATCAGTATTTTTGCTTTTTTTATAATTAAACGTGGCACCATGGCACATTTACGTCCGAATTCCTTCCGTATACTCAGATCCGCTGGGCAAACAATATATGTATGTATTTTTGAAATCTTTATCACCTTGTATCTCAAAAGTTAAGACGTTTCTGATCTACGTTCATATGAAGCTTCTTTCTTAAAATGGCTGGCACGTATTTAGTAATTTGTTCAGAAGCAAAAAAGTTTAGATAATTCTTACCATAATCAAATAAAATAATGACCATATACTCAGACCAATACTATACGACTATGACCACAGCAATGAACCACAGTTTATTTAAGGTCGCAGGTCGAAAACTATTTATTTAGCAATTACCAGCTGTTTTACCGTCAATGGTCGCGTTCACCAGTACTCAACATGTTGAGTGATTAGTAAACGGCTTTGTTCCAACAAGTGGAATACACAAGGTAGAAGAGTTTTGATTGGTCTAGAGCTGATTTTCATCTGTTTTCAACAAAGCCGTTAACTAATCACTCAACATGTTGAGTGCTGGTGAACGTGACCATTATCATTTGTAAACGTAAACACATTAGTTCTTTTCACGTGGCTCCGGTTTAACTAACCGGGTTACAAAACGGTTAGAGAAATGACATTCCGTTTTCTAACCCGGTTACAGTGACGACGTGTGGATACCTACCGCTCGGATTTGAGCGGTATGTTGCGGTTTGTTAAACCGGAGCCACGTGAAAAGGGTTAAAGAGTGGGTTCCGTTTCCAAACTGAGCCGATTAAACGCGATGGAATAATCTGGAATAATAGACACTTTAAGTTGGACCAAACACGTTAACGTAATCTTTAAACGTAAACCCTATTTTTACTATAGCGTCGAGTGACCGTCGGCGTCGGTGCTCACAAACCAGTTTAAGTTAAATTTTCACGTAAACGTTAACGCTATATCTCACAATCATAACCTAACCTTTAAATTTTGTTGTGAAAAGGACAAATTAGAAATAATTTTTTGTATTTTGATTATTTTGAATTATGTGACAACTTTTTTTTAAGGTGACTATTTCACTAGAGTGTATTACACCAGCAATAAATTCGGTATTCACCTGACAATAACGCTACCTGGACAATACCAACAACATGGTATTTCAGCGACCATCTTTTGACATTGTCAAACTGGTATTTTTAATTTGAAGTTTTTATTCATAATTTTGCATTCTATTTATTTCAAAATCTTACGTGAAATAGTCATGACGAATACCACTCGAGAAAAAATTGTGTAGGCAAAATTGTTCTCAAGGTTTTATTCAAGTTTGTTGCTTTTCGGCAATTTCGCTCATGACATTTTTGATAAAATCACTCGCCTGAAGGCTCGTGATTTTGTCAAAAATGTCATTCGCGAAATTGCCAAGCAACAAACTTTCATACCTTTCGAAAATTTTGCCGACAAAATTTTTTCTCTTGTGATATTAGGGACATAAAGCTTCCGTATTTTTTGCTCGGTATCCGTATCGGTATCGTACTGCGCATGTGCAGAAGTGATACGGAGGCTGAGATGCCGTACGTACAACGTAACGTTACGGCCCTCTCGCGGTATCCGTATCGGTAACGTATCTTGACATTCCTGATACATGTGTCAAATTTTAAATGAATATAACCTCACCTTTTTTCCGGGTTGATTTAATTTGTTTAGTTTATACTTTCTTGAGTTTCTTTTGTGTTTAGTGCTTCTCTATCGCAAAAAAAATAACAATTTTAAGGTTAGATATAAAAACGCCGGAGTTTTGAGTCAAAAATTTCTAGATTATGAGATGCGTTTACGTTTACCGGAACAGGGAGCGCTTTAACAGCCTTTTCGCTTGTCAACGTATCTAGTTGCGTTACGGATACCGATACCGATACCGGCGAATTATTTCAAGTAGCTTTATTTCCCTATTATATATGAAAATACATTCGGCAAAGGTCGACACCGGTAATCTGGCTTTCGGGACCACTCGATTTAACGAACGTTTACGGATAAGGTACACGTAAAGACCCGCTAAATAACGTGACACGTAACACGCTATTTTTGGTGGAAAGAAACTGCGCCTGCGCAGCTGTCAAATCTTACGTTAGCGTTAACGTATTTTGTCTAACTTAAAGTGTCTATTAATAACCGAGTCAAAAATGGTATTACCATTCACGTAAACGCGGTTTTGGGTATTTTTGATCATTCCGTAGTGACGTCATCATTTGGCCCTTTGTGACGTATTAAATCAGCTGTTTTTATCTTTGGTTCAACCATTTTCAACCTACCTTTGGAGCTAGATTATTATTAGGTTCTGTCCTTGTCTAAAAAAGTAAATAAAGTTTTTCGTTCTTCTGTATTGTGTTTTGTGTTTTTTTGTGCAACCCCAAAAAATGAACTTGAACTAATCGAAAAATCAATAATTCACCATATTAGTTAGGTTAGAATCGCAAATTGGCGCGGGTTCCTAGTTCAAAAATTAATACATTGATGTCTTATGGGGACTCAATTTTAAAAGCGTCTGTAGACGTGATAGAACGTTTGTTAGGGAAGTGAGTTGTATAAATAGTTTTTTTAATAAGTTAATTAACTGAGAGAGTGTTTGAAAGTTTAATAAACATTGTTAAAATAAAAATATTACCAATTTAAGAAGCCGATGTTTGTATAAAATACGTATGTCGTTGCTTGATCCATAAGTATATATATGGGTACCTATAATTATAATAAAATAGAAGTGTACCTACATACTTGGTTAGTATAGATGTACTTCAATAATCCAAAAAAATGGAAAAACAAATGACTGAACTAGTGATAAATAAATAAATAAACAATTCACCAACAATCATAACACAACACACAACCTCACTTTCTTACAGCTGGTTTTAGACCCGACGTACGTCCACCGAAAACAGACACTTTTAATTAAAATCATTTGTATTTTTAATTCGTAGGTCTAAAAAAACAATTAGAGCATGAATTTTAGAGAAATATGTTCAAAGTTTGACGTATAATAGGTTCAAATACTAAGAAATGCCCAGAACCCAAGATATACCCGTCTGAAAATCACTCTTTTGAATCCCCCATAAGAAATACATTGCTGTCAAATTTGTTGAAATGTGTTTAGGAACCCATTTTAAATTTCGCGCCCGATTTTTCCTAACCTAACTAATATGGTGAATTATGTACTGTAGTTCAGGTGAAAATTCAACAAAAAACAATCACAAGACAGAACAACGGAATAAACAAAAAAAAAATGGGGTTAACGGAATAACCATAGCATAAACGCGAGCTTTCTCAGGTTAATCAAAAGGGTCGACAATCCCTGTTTCAAGGATAACCAAAGGAGTGACCAAAGATATAACCACGGTTATCAATATTCCATCGCGTTTAATCGGCTCTGGTTATAATTAACCGATCGGTGCAACGTCGGTTCGCTCGATCGACAGTAGTGGTTGGTGGTGGAACGCTCTTTCAATCGAAGACGAAGAACGAAGAAGTGAATTGAGTATGGTTGTAGTGAAATAAATAATAGAGAGTTATTGGACATGCAATAAGGACAAGCAGTATTTAAATTCGCCTTATTTTGACATCTACGCATGCGCATTTGGGTCTGAAAATAAGGATTTCCTTAATAAGGTTACTGCTTGTCTTTATTTGTGTATGGTTAAGCAGCGTTTTCCTAGCAACGCACATTTTACGCGGCGTAGAACGTAATACGGCCGACGCAACGCAACATCTAATGCGCTGCGTAAAAGTGTTTTCCTAAGCTTGTCAGTTGCGTCCCGATCATCGCGATAAGTATATCAATAAAGAAATTAGCTTTGGCGAATTTCATTGGTTGAAAACAGTCAGAAAACTAGTTTCAACCAATGAAATTTACTCTGACTGGTTTGTGATTTCTGCAGGAACAGCCCTATTATTACAAGATGAAAATTTGCAAGAAGAGATTGATATAATAGCCACGATTCATGATAGGACTAGAAATTCTGCTAGTCAATTATTTCAAAAAGAAGAAGCTAAGGAGCATTTAGAATACTTATCCATAAACATCTGCTCGACGACGAAGTAAAATTTGAAAAGCATATTTTAGAGTTACAAGGCAGCAATTCTCATTTCTCCTCGATTTTGTGAGAAAAGATTTAAGTAAGAAATCATGTAATCGCGTGCGACATCTTATTTCGCCACCTGAAAAGCTTGGCCTAACATTGAGGTATATAAATATAATACAACAGGAACATTTTCCTCGCCAACACGCAGCGTACAACTGAATAGACTGCTCTCCGAGCAGTCGTTCAGTTGCGTCGACCGTATTACGCTAGCGCAAGTCGTTTTTACGCAGTGTAGGAAAACGCTTCCATTTGATTTTCGTTAGACATGTCCTCAGCGTTTTACGCCGACCGAATTACGTTCTACGTCGCGTAAAATGTGCGTTGCTAGGAAAACGCTGCTTTAGTGCGAGGCAGTAAACTTCCCTTATTTCAAATTTCTGACATTTTGGACGCCTTTGACGTTTCGCTTTTCGACGGTGACCTAATTTTACTTGGAAAATGTATTTTTTACAGTAGTTTTCCATTTTACTGTAGGTAGCATCGAAAAATGAGTATCGGCAGAAAATCACAAACAAAAATAAACACTTTTTGAGGTTGAAATTTATAAACATAGCTATCAGCTGTCAAAATTATGAATACAAAATAAGGTAATACTCTAGCACCTACTACAGTCTTCCAATAACTGTTTTTTTCTTGAAGAAATAGTGCTGATGCACTAATAAAATAACGTAGATCCTTAATACTGCGAGGCAGTATTTAATAGTTCCAATAATTCTCTAATATGTCCGAGCATATAAAGGAAATATTTCGGAAATATTAGAAAGTTCTCACGCCTCAGACGCTACGCTAATACGGCACCTCTAACAATACGGTATTTTAAATGGTATTTTATAGTTCTCGGACACGAAGACACAAAAATCCTCCAATCCCATTCTGTTTACAATTTGACAGCTGGAGTAATCAACTTTTTTTTGCTTGTTTTTTTACATTTATTTATCCTGGAGATACCTGAGTATCATTAATTATCTCATGGTGTCTTTTATGGAGGAATTATAAAAAGTTATTGTTCTTGCAGACGTAAATGGGGCGTAAACTAACTTCGACATAGCGTAGCGTTACGGTAAGGCATCCGCTAAGTCCCGTTAGGTAGCGGGCTCCGCTAACGCTAATACCGTAAGCACTTTCATACTTGTCAAAGAGCGTTACGGTATTTGAAATTTGGACAGCACGTGAAATCTATTAGCTATCGAAGTAGATAGTCAAAGCGGGTCCTAGCATCAAAATCCGACCATAACCTCAATCTTTCATTCTTGACACGTGGTGGATGCGCCGCCGTTGACACGAAGGTGGATGCGCCGCCATGGCCCCATCTTGTCGACAGATGGCGCCATGGGACCTGCGCCCGCAGGGCTCCGCCCCCCAAAAAGGGGCCCCCGGATTTTAATATGGGTACCAGAAAAAGGGGTGGGGGGGAAATGTTTCCCCGCCATCTTGTCAACC